GTCCCAAACCAACAGCGGCCGCTGTTGGGCAGGCGGCCTTCTGTCTCAAATGGACACAGGCCGCGGCCGCGCGGACAGCAAGTCCTGTTCAAAGTGAACAGGAACTGCTGTTAGGCATTGCACCCATTCTATCTGCACCCATGCCGCACGCAGACCTGTCGCTGGTCAGATGACCTACATCAGCCGCACAACAGCCCGGCCAAGGTGGCGCAATTGTCCATATTTATCCTAGCTCTGGGCCCCCCGTTGCGCGGAGCGCCTGCAGGACGTGCCCCTTCGCGCAGCGAGGCCTACGACGCTGCGACAGCGCCTGCGCGGACAGCGGGCGCCCCCCTCCCCGACCAACCAAGGGCAAGCTGCGCTTTCCAGCCAGACCCAGCTACCCCTTCCTGAGGGGGCCCCTGGAACACACAAATTCATAAGCACAAATAACAGGATTCCCAAATATTCCTGCATTTTCTGAATTTCTGTCTCCCCCCACTTCCCATACTTACGCAGGTCGAAAAAAATTCCCCTTGAGCCCCCCATGTCGGCAGCGACGCGCCGATCCCCTCTGTTCTCCTCCCACCTCCTCTTGCCTCTTCCCTCATCCTTCCCCTCTTCATCCTGGACAGACCCCCCCCCGTAGAATCATAGCACTGGTCTGCAGATCCACAGCTCCGTGGATAGCATGATGATTCACTTGCGGTGCTCCGCGGATCCCATTCCCCCTGGGTCCCGGATGTCAATGATCACTGTATAGTTATTCCCGGGAAATAAATGGATCCATTGTTTTTTTTTCACACACAGGAAATTGGATCCGCGCAAAACAGAAATAGGACACACGAAACTCTCCCACACCCGAAAAGGGATCAAATTGGATCCATTGGTGTTCGCATGTTTTTAGTCCAAGAGGAAGAAACTTTCGGCCTGGGAGTGTATTTTCCCATACTTCCAGGGGAATCGACGATGAATTGTGTCTGTGTGCTTTTCCCTCCTGAATGAAGCGCCTCAGCCAAACGCCCGCGCGGCGGGCGGACGCGCGCGAACATGACGCGCGCAGGGCAAACATGATATCACCCCCCCCCCCCCCACGTCGGGCATCGAGGCAGCCGCGCCTCCGCGCGCCGGCCTCCACCACGCCGCGCCCCGGGGGCGCCGAGCCCAAAAACGCCCCACGGCGCTCACCCTCCGCGCAGCGCCAGCTCTCGCTGCAGAGGAACGCCCGGCCCCTCGACGGGCCTCGAAAGTACGCGACGGCGCCGCGAGGCACCCCGGCGCCGATTGCAGTCGGGCCGGTGCCCCAGCGGCTCGCGACAGCCTCGACGACACTGTATGCTCCAGCCGCCGTCGTAGTCGCCCCCCTCGCCCTGGGTATTTTCAGAGTCGCGCTGCCACGAAGATCAGCCATGCTCGCCCACCCACTTTTGAGGGGGCCCTTGGACACACAAATAAAAACACACAAATAAAATGATTCCCCATATCTTCCCATATTTTCTGGGTTTCTGTTTCCCCCCCAACTGCCCACATTTTCCAATATTTTCTCGGGAATCGACGATTAATTGTGTCTGTGTGATTTTTTCCCTCCTGAACTTCCCAGGCTCGACTCTCCACTTAACCTCGCCCTTGCATTCACCCTCGCGCCATCCGCCGCCTGAGCCCCCGTCACCGCCGCGAACACTACATAGGCTCCGCGGCACCCGTTGGGCCCACGCGAAGTCCAGTCGCCACCGCCCGCATTGCCCTTTTCACTGGCCCTGCTGCACCATCTCTCGCCGGCTCTCCCACGACTCTCGCTTCCGCGATTTCCCCGGCAGCCCCCAGACTCGGAGGCGCCCCGCCCCCCCCCCGCCCCCACCCCCGCTCCCACCGCGCCCCGGCCCCGCTGGCAGGGCCGCCTTGCTCCTGGCAGAAGCGCCATCAATCCTGCTGCATTCGCGGTCTCTTTTGGAATCCCATTCAACTGGGGGAACTGGGGGCAGCGAGAGTTCACCAACCACGGGCACGGCGGCAGTGTGCGCGGTCGTAAATCGACTCCCCACGTCCTGAAAACTCTTCGCCACCAAGATGGCCATCGCAGCGAACCAAGCAACACGCTCATGTAGGACTAGATCCGTTCTCTCTCTATATCTCTCTCTCTCTCTCTCTCACCCCTGGAGTTACCAGCGACTCAGCGCCGTCGAGAAGGAAGAAGAAGAAGAATAGGAAAAAAAAGAAGAAGAAGAAGAAGAAGAAGAATAAGAAGAAGAAGAAGAAGGAGAGAGAGAGAGAAAAAAAAAAAAAAAAAAAAATGTGAAGGAGCCCACACGCATCCTTGCCGGAAGGATGGATCGACCCCTCGAGGATTTGTCTCAGGATGGGGTAAGGACATGTCGCCCATCACCGCAGCATTCTCCATCGCGTAGTCGATGGTACACGTTTCATCGCACAACTTCTGCACCTTGATCGCGACGCAGTCGCGAATCGCTGGATCTATCTGTCCGTAATGAGGCATGGCGACAGGATCGGCACGCACACGCAAGACTTCGCACGGCCTTGTGACTCGTCGACCCACCGACGCTCGAGACAGCCTCAAAAAAACACCCGAGCCCCCCAAACCGGGCGGTGGCCCGTTTCAATTTTTTCCGAATTCCCAATTTCACATTCTGCTCACGTTTCATATCTGCTGTCTGGCTGGTAGTCGAATTGTACACCCATGCCCTGCACGAGGCCGAGCAGCCGACAGGCATGCTCGCATGGCTCGCCCGCTCGCCGCGCTAGTGGAACCAGGGGCGCGGATCAAACTCCTGCGGCGGCCCAGGGCCACCTCCAGGGGGCGGCAGGGCCAAAGGGGGCGCCGGAGCGACCGACTGGGCGCGCCACGACGGGGCACGCGCCCTGGCGGGGGGCATGCTCCTCGTCGAGGTGCCCTTCTGGCCACCGCCGTTGCCATCCTATGCTGATCGCTCTGCTCTCAGGGCCCGAAGTGGGGGAGACCGAAGCGAAGTGGAGGAGAAAGGAGGAAGAGAGGAGGGACGGGAAGGGGGCGATAAGGAAAGAGGAGAGAGGGACAGAGGAGGAGACGGGGGAAGAGAGAGATAAAGAAGATGATAGTTTTGCTTCTCCACGAACCCACGCTCCATCCAACCGCCCAGCCGAGGGCGCCCCAGAATGAGCACCAGTGCTCTCACAACGCACGCCAGCATACTCGCAGCGATCTCATCCACGATGTCGTCGCACTACTGCATCAAAACACGAAACGGACAAACCATGCGCGCAGGTCGGGCGACTATCTCGCGTTTTAAGCAGCGCGCCACGGCCCAGACAAAACGCGCGCGCGAGGCTAAGCGCAGAGCGCCTGAGCCCCGCGCTACACGCGAACACTGGGGCCCAAACTGCGCGAACGACTGAACCACGCAGCACGCGCCAAACTCACCGCACCGCGCTCTCACCGCTTTGTTAAAATTCCTCTGGAACGGAAGAACACACGCCACAGGTTGACTCTGTTCGAAATGTGGGACCCACGCTAGGTGACTGGGCGCCGGCGGCAAACCGTCAACCTTGGTTTTTGAGTTTGAGTCAGGGCGCGGACAGCTGTGACAGCTGAGCCCTAAGACTCCCAAACGGAGCACAGGGTAGCTAGAGAAGGCATCTCTTATCATCACACTGCCGAGCCACTGAGGCATAGGCATCGGAATAGGATGCAGGAACAAGGAAAAGGATGCAGCACGACATGTGATATTGCAAAGGTGTAGGAACAGGTTAGAGATGAAAGAGGCTACCCAAAACGTGCACCACGGCCATACAGAGCCGTTGCGCTGCAAACACCACACAGAACACGACAGAAGCAGAGGCATCAAGCGAGAAAGCTTCCTCCGCCACGAACAGCCACGCCCCGTGCACACACAAACCTAAACACCATTCTGCAGCACATCCCTCCACAGAGCGACCTCCGTCGAAGAATCCACGGAGGCCGTCTAGTTTTGTTTTGCTCGCATGTTCAATAAGAAGTATGGAACACAACGTAACAAGTTCTGGTTCTGGCCAACCATGTCAGCCTATGTGCAATCACTAAATCAATCAATCAATTGGGTATCCCGCCTTGGCCGCCAACTCGCGGTAGTTCTTTACATTGCGACGCATCCATTCATCCTGAAAATTCGTCGCGTATCTCATGGCTTCCGTAACGCTTTTGGGAACGAGTCTGTGGCGACTAAAGTCTCTGATATCCGTCGACAGATGGGTCAAATTGGCTATCGGGCCAAGTCTCGCGCGATCCCGAAGAAGCGCTTCAAGCAACACAGCCTTTTCCTCGGCACCCGATGCCATAAGGCGATACAGCGTGGCAGCCGTGAAAGAGTCAACGAGCTTTACCCAGCCAGACTTGCGGAAGCAGTATTTCCTGATCCTTAAATTACACGCCAACTGAAGCAAATAATCTGCGTGGTTACGCTTCTCCTCGTCCTCCGTCACTGCTGAACTCACAACTGCATTAGATAAACTCCCAGTCGTGGAACTCCCAGGGTGCGAAGCCATAGAATCTTTATGATGAGGAGGCCAAAAGGTTACACGAAGGTTCCTAATGTGGCTCTGCAAGCGTTGTTCCATCAACCGTTGAGCACCACTCGAATAGAATGTTAAGCACCGCCAATGTCCGAAGCACCACCCCGCAATACGGTGCATCCTTATCTTGTCCAACCGACACTGCTCCCAGAGTCTCTGGATGTCCGCGTCCTCCTCCCCATCACGGTGGCAAGCCTCACACAGACGGTGCAGAGTAGCCTGTTTCAAATAAAAATTTGCCCTCTCTCGCAGGGTGGCCATTTTAGCCCATGCGTGGAAGACCGCATCCCAATCAGCGTCCTCCTTCTGCAGGTGGTCCGCCACGAGCAGGCGCGTGATGTGCCTCTGGAGCACCCATGTGGTAGCCGCGCCGGCGCACTCGACGTGATTTGAAGAACTGCACAAGTCCGCAGAAGAGGACGGAGGTCGGGGAGGATCGCAAGTAGATGGATGGGCCGACTTTGACATAGAAGAGCCAGTTAGAACTGCCTGAGCCTTCGCCCTTGCCCGCCTCCTGTTTCTGCGGTGCCTCTGGCCTTCCCCACGGCCAGCATCCCTCTCTGGACTCGGCGCCTCCTCGGGACTCTCAATTCCCATTCGAAGTTTGCATGCCTTGAGCGCCTCGATCCGAGCATGAAACTCATCTTTGGGGAGCCGTTCGAATTCCCGCCAAAGAGCAACTGCATCGCCATTGGCGCGGGCCCAGTCCCTGGCAGCTTGACACTCAGATCGATTGCTCTGCAACTCATCTGAACAGAGCCGGGAAGGAGAAGCACAGTTATCTTTACGCTGGTCAACTTCGCACTCTCCGTGGGTTTTCGAGGGTGCCAACGGCAGCGCCTCGGGGCCCCCACCTTCCCTTTGCACTCGAGAATAGTCCAAAGGAACTGAGTGCAGAGAATAATCCAAAGGAGCAGAGTGCAGAGAATAATCCAAAGGAACTGAGCGCAGTACAGCATCATTTGATTGAGAAGCAAGCGACGCTTCTTCAGCAGCAACTGCCGTAGAACTCTCCACGCATTCAACATGAACATTTTCCTCCTCCTCGTCCTTGAAATCCTTAAGATCCCCCTGCCAATCCTTTCCATGGCAAGCTGAGTCTCCGTCAGAAGCTGAAGTGTGGCAAACTTCAGGGCGTGAGACCGTATAATATGTACGTTGTGAATAATGCAACTGCTCATTCAGCAACTCCTCATTCTGATCATGCAACTCCTCTTTCCGAACACCTGGGTCAACTGAAGCACCTTCCGCACGATGCGGCTCGAACCGCACGAAGAAGCCCCACGAGTCCCCGTAACCAGACGCCGTCTTCGTTACCGCCGCGAACTCCTCATCATGCTCCTCATTCTGAACACCAGGGTCAAAAGAAACAGAGCCCAGTCTCGACTGCAGCCCACCATCTGGAGACTGCACCACATCTGGAGAATACGCAAACGAATGAGACGAGAAAGCTTATCCACGATCAGTTGGCCCAGTAGTTGGCACCGATAAGGAACTCAACAATATATTGACCTGCGCCTCCGAGTTCCCCTGAAACGGGCATGGGTTTCGCGCACAATCATCGAGGTTATCAAACCAGCCAAACGCGGGGAAAGTATTCGGATCAGCCACAACTTAAACTGCATAACATCAAATACATAACTGCATAAACTTAAGTATATGGATCACGAGCATTAAACTGCATAACATCAATTACAGCTTGTCTACAAATCACCAGTTTGATTCTCCTTGTTTTTCTTTTCCAACTGGTCGAAACAGAACCCATCGAACAAAATTGCGCTGTCATGATGCCGCACCAGGAAGGGGCACGCAAGAACAACTAATCAATCCAATGCCGACAGATCACCCGTTCAGTACTCAGAGATGTACGTTACGTGTGTATGCACAAAACCTGTCCGCACGATGCGGCTTGAGCCAAAATGGCTACGGAAACTCGTAGAGCTTCCTTGCCATATACCATCTCTAAAGAATAAGCAGAGTACGAATAGTTGTTCAGCCCGAGCGCTAATAGCAGACTGAGTGCAGCCGTCTAGATACATTCAACTAGCGCCTCTGATAATTTCCTTCCAATTGCTGTACAGAACAGCCCTCTAGCTCGTCTACAGCGCGAGTTAGACCAAGAAAACCAATACCGTCTTCAATAAATTAGCAGAGTACGAATAGTTGTTCAGCCCGAGCGCTCATGGAAGACGGATTTCAGGGGTCCAGACACTACCAAATAGCGCTCCTCATGATTGTATTCCGATTGCTCTGCGTCTGATAATTCCCTCCCGATTTCTGTGCCAAAGAGCTCAGAAGCTTAGATTCAGCTCGACTTTAGTCAAGGAACTCACCATCATCTCGAAAAAAACGGTAGAATACTAATAGTTTCGCAAAAACCCAGCTCGAGTAGCAGACCGAGTTCGGACCTCTAGATGCTTCAGACGAACGCAACTGATGATTCTGAGTTGAGTACGTGTGCGTATCAGCTCTGTAGCTCTCCCACAGCTCGACTTAAGTACAGAAAACCGACAACAGTTGACAAGAAAATTCGTACTATAGGAATAGTTTTGCGGACCTAGCTCGAGTAGTGGACCGAGTTCAGACCTCTAAATGCTTCAGACGAACGCGCATGATGATTCTGAATCGATTACGTGGGCGTACAAGCTAGGTAGCTCTCCTACAGTTCGAGTTAAGTACAGAAAACCGACAGCACCTGTCAACAAAATTCGTTGATACGAATAGTTTCGCGGACCTAGCTCGGTTAGTGGACCGAGTTCAGACCTCTAGATGCTTGAGACGAACGCGTGTAATGATTCTGAACCGATTACGTGTGCGCATCAGCTTTTTAGCTATCCTAGAGCTCGAGTTCAGTACCGGAAATCGACAGCATCTGTCCAGAAAATCGGTATAACACGAATAGCTTTGCGGACTTAGCTCGAGTAGCAGAATGAGCTCAGACCTCTAGATGCTTCAGATGAACGCGCCTGATGATTCTGAATCGGTTTCTGTGCGTACCAGCTCTGTAGCTCTCCTAGAGCTCGAGTTAAGTACAGAAAACCGACAGCGCCTGTCAAGATGAGTCGGAACGGCCGATCCAGCCGCGATGCTTTTTGGCAGTAATAGGTACCCGATCGAGCTGAGATTAAGACGGCGAGCGGGAATAAGATCGAATATGGTCAGAAAAATTACTAGAGCTCTAACGACTTGTTGAGTTTCGAGAACAAAATTTTCAACCGAGCAAAAGGCACAAAAAGGTCCGTCGAGATTTTTCTTGCCAACTAGCTCTCCAGCGCGTTCGAACTGGGCGCCGGCGGTAAACCGTCAACCTTTCTTACCGCGGGGAGACTCGTAGAGCTTCCTTGCCATATATTATGTCGAAAGAACTAGCAGAGAACGAATAGTTTTTCAGCCCGAGCGCTGATAACAGACTGATCTCAGGCGTCTAGATACATTTCACGATTGCCCCTGATGGTTCCCTTTCCATTGCTGTGCTGAACAGCTCTGTAGCTCATCTGCAGCACGAGTAAAAGCAATAAAAAAAAGTACCATTTCCAAGACAGTAGCAGAGTGCGAATCGGTGTTCAGCCCTAGCGCTAATAGCAGACGGAGCGCGGGTGTCTAGATACTTTCAAATAGCGCGCAAGATGATTATCTTCCCATTGCAATGCCTAAGAGCTCTCAAGCTCATCTGCACCTCGAGTTCAGTCCAGAAAATAAATCCCATCACCAAAAAAATAGCAGAGTATGACTAGTTGTTTGGCGTCTGCGCTCATAACAGACCCAGGCCAAGCGTCTGGATACTCCAGACTAGCGCGTCTCATGATTTTCTTTTGATTTCTGTGCGAAAGAGCTCTCAAGCTCATCTGTAGCTCGAGTTAAGTGAAGAAATTCACCATGCTTTCGAAAAATCTGTCGAATACGAACAGTTTTACGGACCTAGCTCGAGAAGCAGACTGAGTTCAGAGCTCTAGATGCTTCAGCCGAACGCGCCTGATGATTCTGAATCGATTACGCGCGTACAAGCTATGTAGCTATGCTACAGCTCGAGTTAAGTACAGAACACCGACAGCGCCTGTTAAGAGAACTCGAAGAATGCGAATAGCTTCTCGGACCTAGCTCGAGTACCAGACCGAGTTCAGACCTCTTGATGCAGACGAACGCGCCTGATGATTATGAATCGATTCGTGTGCGTACCAGGTCTGTAGCTCTCCTACAGCCCGAGTTAGGTACAGAAAACCGACAGCACCTGTCAAGATGACTCGGAGAATACGAATAGTTTCGCGGACCTAGCTCGAGTAGCAGACCGAGTTCAGACCTCTGGATGCAACAGGCGAACGCGCATAATGATTCTGAATCGGTTTCTGTGCGTACCAGCTCTGTAGCTCTCCTGAATCTCGAGTTAAGTACAGAAAACCGTCAATGCGTGTCAAGATGACTCGAAACGGCCGATCCCGCCGTAACGCTTGTTGGCAATAAAAGGTAACCGATCGAGCTGAGATTAAGACGGCGAGCGGGAATAAGATCGAATATCACGGGAAAAAAAAAACTAGAGCTCGAACGAATGGTTGAATTTCGAGAACATAATTTTCAACCGAACAATGAAAAAGAACAACAAAAAAATCCGTCGACATTCTTCTTGCCAACTAGCTCTCCAGCGCGCCGGAACTGGGCGCCGGCGGTAAGCCGTCAACCTTGGTTTTTTTTTGCGGTTTTTGGTCCGCCACTAGAATCCGAATCCGAATCGGCGGAGCAGTGCAACTGAGCCCCCACCATCTTAGGTAGGTCGTAGCAGAGCGCACGCCACCTTAGCAGCAGCTCTCGTCAGGGCAGCGCAGGCAGCTAGTTCACAGCAGGTTACCGTGCTACCAGGAGGCAAGCTCATCGCCTCCTCGGCCACATCGTGCCAATGGAAGCTGTGCGAGCTGGTGCAGGAGGAAGGAGGAGGAGGAGGAGGAGGAGATGGGAAAATCAACCTGCACGCTGGAACCCCTACCTACAACGCCAATCTGAAGCCACCACCCACCTCCACATCCTTCATTACTGACACCCCCATCGAATGCACCACGGAGAGCAGTCTTACGAGTACTGAGGAACTTATCATATGCAAACCAGCGAGTAATAGTTTGGCCACCTCTGGCCTCCCACGACAATTTATCCGCACGCTCATTACCCTCACGAAAGAAATGCTTATACAGATTCTGTCCCGATGCAGGTGAGGTCAGTCCCCATCCAGACAGCATCGATACCGTATTTTGTAGTGTTCCCACCAGTCGTACATACTGCTTGTTGCGAATCTGCCACTCACCACACATCCAGTTTACAACAGTCTTACTATCTCCCAAGATCTCCATCCCAAGACGCTCAATATTCTCACACCTCCACTCCGTTTCATTCTCAAAATTTGCGGCAATACGTTTGCTCATCCTCTCATTCATCTCACTCTCCTCCTCCTCCTCTGCCTTCACATGTCTCACACCAGGCGGCCTGGGTAGAACAAACAAGTCGAACAAGTGTTGCATACCAATCACAGTCAGCAAATGCTTGCAGTATTTCTCACGGGACCCAGCGGAACTGTCGAATGAGAGGTACCACTCACAACCAAAGAGATCGCACAAGCACCAGTCCCACGCAGTATGTCCACGGGGGCGGCCGCCTATGTTCATGCGTGTCAGCTGCTTCCTATCTTTTACAGGCATTGCTAGAATACATGTGTCACGATGTTCCGTCCACTTCCCCCTTCCATGTAACATGGCCAGCCTAGATATCATCCATTCACGTGACATGTCCGACTCCTCAGGTATGGCAGGCTGATCATCTGGTGTACGCCGGCGACAGCCACTCGACATCTGGGATATCTGAGATACATGATATGTTTGAGAAGTCGCCGCCGCCGCCATCGCCCGAGTTTTCCTCTGACGCCGATTTGGTACCGTCTCTCCCTCCTCCTCCTCTGTGTGTGTTGTGTATCTCCTCATACGAATACTTGCAGCAACTGAGACATCCTTAGCCCAATCCCAACAACGAAATATCCATATCTGCACCGCACTTCGGAATCCAAGTCCAGCAAAACTCTGTCGTCCCGCTTTGTATCGCCTACGTTGAAACTCAGACCAGCCTTCAGTTCTCCGCTTGCGTATACCTGACATTATAGCTAGACATCTGCCTTCAAAATAGTGAACAGCAGCAATGGTAGAATAGT